AATTACCACCCCTCGAATCATTCTATAGTAACTTATCAGAATCTAGAATAACCGATGCCGATTATGAACACGCTCTGACGGTCTGGGATAAATTAGGTTGTAAGAATTTAGGTGATTATCACGATCTGTACTTAAAAAACGATGTACTGTTACTCGCCGATATATTCGAGATATTTAGAAAGACATGTTTAAAACAATACGGCTTGGACCCGGCATGGTACTATTCCAGTCCCGGACTATCGTGGGATGCATTGTTGAAGAAGACCGGCGTAGAACTAAAACTACTCACAGATTACGATATGCACTTGTTTATTGAGAAAGGATTAAGAGGTGGTATATCGATGGCAGCGAAAAGGTATTCTAAGGCTAATAATAAATTAGTGGAAGGATACGATCCGAGTAAACCCGACACTCATATATTATATCTCGACGCTAACAATTTGTACGGATAGGCTATGAGTCAACCTTTACCCACGGGTGGTTTTGAATGGGTCGATGATATCAATGTTATTAATATCCATAATATCAATGTGAATGATGCGAATAAAGGGTACGTTCGTTACATAAAGATCATAACAGTTATCCGCTAGCTCCCGAAAGATTAATGGTTAATAAAGATTGGATGTCGGAATATCAACACTCCTTGATGGGTAATAGTAGGTTAGCTTACGTAGAAAAACTCGTACCAAATTTGATGGATAAGACAAAATATATAGTTCACTACAGAAATCTCAAGTTGTATCTATCGTTAGGTATGAAACTTAAGAAAATACATAGAGTTCTAAAGTTCGATCAAAGCCCTTGGATGGAGCCCTATATAAGGTTGAACACAGATTTAAGAAAGATAGCTACCAGCGATTTCGAAAAGAATCTGTATAAGCTCATGAATATATCAGTATTTGGTAAAACTATGGAGAATCTAAGGAAGCGTGTTGATGTTAAATTAGTCAGATCTAATGAGGAAAAAGACTCAGGAAACTTATAGCCAGTCCGGCTTTTAACAGAAGCAAGATATTCGATAACGACTTAGCCGCGTTGCATATGCAGAAGAGTAATATAAAATTCAACAGACCGGTGTACGTCGGTATGAGTATTCTCGACTTGTCAAAACACTTAATGTATGACTTTTATTACAACGAACTTAAGAAGCAATACGGCGATAGATACGAGGTGTTATATACCGACACAGATTCTTTGTTGATGGAAATACAAACCGAGGATGTGTATAAAGATATGGCAGAAAAAATAGATATATACGACACGAGCGATTACCCAAAAGATAATCCACTGCACAGCGTTGTAAATAAAAAGGTGTTAGGTAAGATGAAGGATGAATGTGCTGGGACCCCTATAGCGGAGTATGTCGGATTAAGACCTCAGATGTATTCTATAAAGAAGTCCGATAATGGAGAGATAAGAAAAGCTAAGGGCGTTAAGAAGTATGTTGTAAAAAAGCATATCAAACACGAACAGTATAAAGAATCATTATTCAACGGTAGAACGTTCAAACACGAGATGAACTCTTTAAGAAGTTACAATCATTATCATAGGATATATGGATTAAGAATGAACAAGACATCATTATCCCCCTTAGATACAAAGAGATGGATTGATAATGATGGTGTAACTACCTATGCTTATGGTTATGGTGGTAATACCGTACCGTCGGGAACTATGAACAACTCTTCTCGTACAAATGCCCTGCCCGGTCCATCTTGAAGATAATATAGAATAGGCTCTCCTTCTTTCGTAACCAATCGACTAATGTTATATGTCTTAAGGGACCATATGGGATCGGTTGCGTGACGTAGGCCTTCTTCGAGTTCACCGGGCTGGTATAAATATCTTACCCTTACTCTATCCGGAAGTTTTCGTTCTTTGCCTCTCCTCGGTACTGAAGATTCGGAAGTCACGGATTTCATTTTAATAGCATCGGATGGTTTCTTCCCTATTAATCTCGTTACTTCATTATTCAACGCTGATACAACGGCTGGTAATCGTGTCACCCATTCGGTTGATCTCAATCGCTCGGATTTCATTTCGATCCCATACTGATAGCCAAACAAACGTTCCGCTAATGTCCTGTTAAATCTTTCGACGATAGCTTGACTGCGGTGGGCCTCTCTTTCACCACGGACGATTTCGACATCGTGCTTTGTTAACAGTTTAGTTACCGATCCCATAAACTCGTGACCGGGATCTACTTGAAATAGCTTAGGCCATTTTAGCGGTCCGCGTTTATGTATGCGACTCAGTGCATTAGATACCTCTGTTGATTCTTTCGAGGTTAATGGCTCAGCCTCTTTGTATCGACTAGCCACATCCACTACAGTTAAAGCATATTTATACGTTTTGCGTTTTACCTTATCGTGGGGAAGAAACAAGAGGTCAGCCTGATGAACTTCATTCGTCGTAAAAATATCAAACTTCTTTCTCGGTATATAACGCGGTGCCGGTAAATATATTTGCCACAACGCTTGTTTCTTTAACCAATCCTTGGCCACATCTTTAGATACCTTAGCCGCGGTGGCTAATTTTTTTATTCCTCCTACACCTTTCCAATATTGTCGTGGGCTATAGTAAATTTTATCCATTATTAATTAATATTGATGTTTCGTTTAATACAACTCATGACTATCGTTAAATCGCATAATCATTTTGGCATAAAAAATGCCACCTGTAGTAGCAGTATAGGTATATAAATCCAGCTCCAGTGGAAGTGAGCCAGAACCATCATTACCTATAAAAATTTATATCATAGACTCCAGGTGGTGGTGAGCTGGAGTCAATTTAACTTAATCTCATGATGATCGTTGAATCGCATCATCATTTACGCATAAAAAATTCCCTCTGTAGTAGCAGTATAGGTATATGAATCCTGCTCCAGTGGAAGTGAGCCAGAACCATCATTACCTATACTACTAGATATGTCCCAAAACATCTGAGCAGGAGAGATTCAGGTCACAGACAGACACAAGGCCACAAAGATATGAGTAAAATATTACTTATAACCACCAGCTCTATGGAACACTTCCACACACTTACCGTGCAGCCATTACACTCTCTATGGAACACTTCCACACATTTACCGTGCAGCCAGTACACTCTCTATGGAACACTTCCACACATTTACCGTGCAGCCAGTACACTCTCTATGGAACACTTCCACACACTTACCGTGCAGCCATTACACTCTCTATGGAACACTTCCACACATTTACCGTGCAGCCATTACACTCTCTATGGAACACTTCCACACACATACCGTGCAGCCATTACACTCTCTATGGAACACTTCCACACATTTACTGTGCAGCCAGTACACTCTCTATGGAACACTTCCACACATTTACCTTGCAGCCAGTACACTCTCTATGGAACACTTCCACACATTTACTGTGCAGCCATTACACTCTCGATGGAACACTTCCACACACATACCGTGCAGCCATTACACTCTCTATGGAACACTTCCACACATTTACTGTGCAGCCATTACGCTCTCTATGGAACATTTCCACACATTTACTGTGCAGCCAGTACACTCTCTATGGAACACTTCCACACACATACCGTGCAGCCATTACACTCTCTATGGAACACTTCCACACATTTACCGTGCAGCCAGTACACTCTCTATGGAACACTTCCACACATTTACCTTGCAGCCAGTACACTCTCTATGGAACACTTCCACACATTTACCGTGCAGCCAGTACACTCTCTATGGAACACTTCCACACATTTACCGTGCAGCCAGTACACTCTCTATGGAACACTTCCACACACATACCGTGCAGCCATTACACTCTCTATGGAACACTTCCACACATATACCTTGCAGCCATTACACTCTCTATGGAACACTTCCACACATTTACTGTGCAGCCAGTACACTCTCTATGGAACACTTCCACACATTTACCGTGCAGCCAGTACACTACCGAAATATAGCTATGAAGCACTGGAAATGAATTTAAGGTCAAGAAGTTCACTTACGAGTAAGAATGGGATAAACCATGCCAAGCTTCAGCAACATAGGTTGATTTGAGACGTAATACTTAGTGCCACTGCACTGCAGCTCCACTGTACACAGTACTGCTGTGTGTAGGTGCTGTATACGTTACTGCTTTGTGTAGGTGCTGTACACATTACTGCTGTGTGTAGGTACTGTACACGTTACTGCTGTGTATAGGTACTGTACACGTTACTGCTGTGTGTAGGTACTGTACACGTTACTGCTGTGTGTAGGTACTGTACACATTACTGCTGTGTGTAGGTGCTGTACACGTTACTGCTTTGTGTAGGTGCTGTAAACGTTACTGTTGTGTGTAGGTACTGTACACATTACTGCTGTGTGTAGGTGCTATACACGTTACTGCTGTGTGTAGGTGCTGTACACGTTACTGCTGTGTGTAGGTGCTGTACACATTACTGCTGTGTGTAGGTGCTGTACACGTTACTGCTGTGTGTAGGTACTGTACACGTTACTGCTGTGTAGGTACTGTACATGTTACTGCTGTGTGTAGGTGCTGTACACGTTACTGCTGTGTGTAGGTACTGTACACGTTACTGCTGTGTGTAGGTACTGTACACATTACTGCAGTGTGTAGGTACTGTACACGTTACTGCTGTGTGTAGGTACTGTACACATTACTGCTGTGTGTAGGTACTGTACACGTTACTGCTGTGTGTAGGTACTGTACACGTTACTGCTGTGTGTAGGTACTGTACACGTAACTGCTGTGTGTAGGTACTGTACATGTTACTGCTGTGTGTAGGTACTGTACACATTACTGCTGTGTGTAGGTACTGTACACGTTACTGCTGTGTGTAGGTACTGTACACATTACTGCTGTGTGTAGGTACTGTACACGTTACTGCTGTGTGTAGGTACTGTACACGTTACTGCTGTGTGTAGATACTGTACATGTTACTGCTGTGTGTAGGTACTGTACACGTTACTGTACATGTCATGTACTGTATACATGGTTACATACCTCCAACCAGAAGTTTGGATCCATCTGGAATATCAGACACAGCTTCACCTGCATTCTTAAAGAACTTGGCATCGTGTCTTTTGCTGGTCGAGAAACATTTCAAGCCCTAAAACATACATTAAACTTAAATATTCAAATAACTGGATGTCCATCCTATCTAGATTAACATTCAAGTGCAGTCTTGGTTCGAAGACTATAAACCAAGTCTACAGGCGGACCACCTGATCCAATTTCATCATGTCTTAGAAACAAATAAGCCCTACTGCCAATTAAGGTTCTTTTCATTAAAGGTTCAGTGTACAATCTCTGTTATGTAGGCTGGTAGCATTTGACAATGAGAGCATTGTCATGCAGTGATTTGCACTAGTTCTGCTACTCGTTAAAATGTTTGGGGCTACATTCTAGTGTATAGACCTACATTCTAAATGAGCTTTGCAACATTTACGATTATACATGACTTTCTACACATCTAGTTTTCCGTGAATACAAAATATTGCATTAGTCTCAGCAAAGAGGTATGGTGACGATAGAACGTAAGACCACTCACTGACCAGCCAATGATAATCTGGAGGTGTGACCTTGACAACAAATGAAGTTGACCGACAATTTACCATGCACAGAAAGTATCGAATTACTAAATTCAGGGCTTTAGCACAATTTATATTTTGGAAACAACAATCTTTACTTGGTCGAACTCAATGCAACTGGAATAAGGTTTGCTCTTCTGGATCTCTGAAGTCTTTGTCACATCACTCTATAAACAGGAAAATAAATTATTTGTTTCCTTCCAATGTATTCCATAATGTCCCATAACGTAATGCACATATAACCCACATTCGCCTTATACCTGTGATATGCGTGGCGTGACAGATTTATAAAATGTGTTGATATTTTGTAAGCGAACAATATTCAACATTGCTGTCGCCATCACTGCCAAGCTCCTCACAGCAATATAGCCCGTTCGCGGAGCTCTAGTTAAAGGGAAGTCACTCTCGCAAACTAATAAACAATGAGAACCCGCTTAAGCAGGTTTTGCACCTTCGTTTCTTGCATAGCTAGCGGAATTACACGATAGAATCCGAATGAGTCGGCGATTGTAGCTATCGACACCAGAGGGATCCAGACACCCCAGCATCGTTATATTAAAAGTGGCCTGTGAGGGGATAAATAAACCAGCTCCATCAACGCAGTTTATCCTAGTTAGGCTCAGAACTGTTCAACTACTTTCGCAACATATTCATGAAAGTAGCCAAAGTACGTAACTAAAGGTACTTTTTATGGTACAATTCTACTGAGAGCCAAAGATCTGTTTTGAAAAAAACATAATCTGTTCCCGAAAGTACTGGAAATAATTTGGCCCTAACGTTTCGCTGAATATCAGTTTGAAAGTTCTGAAAAATAATGTGTTGTGAGTAAAAATGAATATTGTTTGGCTACAATAGTATGTTTTGAAGCGCTGACTGAATAAATGTAAGTACGTCTTGAGAAGACGTCGGACTCAGCAACTTTATACCAAATAAAATACAAAATATTGAGTAAAATATGTATTTGTATTTTGGGCGACCAAGGTTAATTCTTTATAAAAAACAAACTTACCTATATCCAATATACCATTGTGTCGCACAGTTTAGCGTTGTTATTACGGAATAAGAATGAATGTTTCTTCACATTCTTGCATTTGATTTGTATTTTGTATTTGTATAGATCCAGTTTCATGTAAATGGCAGAAACTAAACATGCCCAAAACACAAGAGCAGGTCGAACTATCAGAAAATATCTTATACCATCTCAGAGCGTTCTTTTCTACTCGAAATTTGAAAGTTCATATCATAATAATTTTTTAATTTGACGTTTACACGATATACGGCTTTTCCATTGGACGAGAGGTCAGTCACATGACCGCGAAGTTGACGTTCATAAGTGTATGAACGACACAATTTGACGTTCATACGTTTTTCACGAGACCGTGTTCTTGAAATGACGTAAACACTGACGGACTACTTCCACATTCCTGGGGAAACCCCTGGGAATTCCCTAGCACGAAAACATACATTAGCATTATATCTGATCATTTAGAACCTTTTATCCTGGTCTCAGCATTTCAGTATACATTGAGAAACGTAAGAGAGCTTGACTGCATGATTGTTCACGAATTTCCTCGCTACGGCCCATCCTAATGAACAAACGAAAAAATGCACATCCAAACTATCGTCAGTATCGACTCGATCTGTGTCTAGGCTGACAGTGACCGTCTCCAGCAATCTACGAATTTACCTTGGTGTCTGTTTGACGCATCTTTAATCAACTTTCAATAATCGGTCAGTTGATCAATAATGACTAACACATGTAACCGCCACAGGTTCATTAACAACTTCGGAAATCCTCCCGTCACGTTTATCGTGTCGGCCATTTTGACGTCTTGTACTTGATGTAATTTATGTATTACGACGCGCTGTCATTGTGACTGACTTACTGTGGTAGTTCATTACAGACCTTTCTCATCTAATGGGGATATTATATGAACACATGTGTTGCGTAAGATGTTTCTGAAGAGCAAGTTGTGCATCCATACACTCATGTCACCTCTCTTTTCGGGGATCTATTTTATTCCGCGATATTGCTGGTTGTTGTTTGGCTGTCAGTGTAAACATGAAGTCACACGTACTAAATAAAATTGTGTTTAGATCTTGGCCTACGTCCTTTGAGGAAAGACATTGTGATAAAAAATTATAAGAATTGAATTTCGCTTTGTGTGAGTTCATTGGAGTATGAACCTGCATAGAGTGAGGGCCAAACATTGTATGAACGTCGTCGCAAGCTCCGACGTTCAGACAGTTTGGCCCTCACTCTATGCAGGTTCATACTCCAATGAACTCACACAAAGTGAAGGTCAATTCTTAAATGAACGACACAATTTGACGTTCATACATTTTTCACGAGACCGTGTTCTTGAAATGACGTAATCACTGACGGACTACTTCCACATACCTGGGGAAACCCCTGGGAATTCCCTAGCACGAAAACATACATAAACATTATTTCTGATCATTTAGAACCTTTAATCTTGGTCTCAGCATTTCAGTATACATTGAGTAACGTAAGAGAGCTTGACTGCATGATTGTTCACAATTATTTCCTCTCTACGGCCCATCCTAATGAACAAACGAAAAAATGCACATCCAAACTATCGTCAGTATCGACTCGATCTGTGTCTAGGCTGACCGTGATTGTCTCCAGCAATCTACGAATTTACCTTGGTGTCTGTTTGACGCATCTTTAATCACCTTTCAATAATTGGTCAGTTGATCAATGATGACTTACACATGTAACCGCCACAGGTTCAGTAACAACTTTGGAAATCCTCCCATCACGTTTATCGTGTCGGCCATTTTGACGTCTTGTACTTGATTTAAATGTATTACGACGCCCTGTCATTGTGACTGACTTACTGAGGTAGTTCATAACAGACCTTTCTCATCTAATGGGGATATTATATGAAACATGTGTTGCGTAAGATGTTTCTGAAGAGCAAGTTCTGCATCCATACGCTCATGTCACCTCTCTTTTTGGGGAACTATTTTATTCCGCGATATAGCTGGTTGTTGTTTGGCTGTCAGTGTAAACATGAAGTCACACGAACTAAATAATAAAACTGTGTTTAGATCTTGGCCTACATCCTTTGAGGTAAGAAATTGTGATAAAAATGTATAAGATTTGACCTTCACTTTGTGTGAGTTCATTGGAGTATGAACCTTCATAGAGTGAGGGCCAAACATTGTATGAACGTCGTCGCAAGCTCCGACGTTCATACAGTTTGGCCCTCACTCTATGAAGGTTCATACTCCAATGAACTCACACAAAGTGAAGGTCAATTCTTACATAATTTTTTAATTTGAAGTTTACACGATATACGGCTTTTCCTTTGGACGAGAGGTCCGTCACATGACCGCGAAATTGACGTTCACAAGTGTATGAACGACACAATTTGACGTTCATACGTTTTTCACGAGACCGTGTTCTTGAAATGACGTAATCACTGACGGACTACCTCCACATTCCTGGGGAAACCCCTGGGAATTCCCTAGCACGAAAACATGCATAAGCGTTCTTTCTGATCAATTAGAACCTTTATTCTTGGTCTCAGCGTTTCAGTATACTTTGAGAAATGTCAGAGAGCGTGACTGCATGATTGTTCACGAATATCCTCGCTACGGCCCATCCTAATGAACAAACGAAAAAATGCACACCTAAACTAGGCCTATCGTAGTATCGACTCGATCCGTGCCTATGCTGACATTGACCGTCTCCAGCAATCTATGAATTTACCTTGGTGTCTGTTTGACGCATCTTTATTCAACTTTCAATGATCGGCCAGTTGATCAATGATGACTAACACATATAACCGCCACAGGTTCATTAACAACTTCGGAAATCTCTCCCGTCACGTTTATCGTGTCGGCCATTTTGACGTCTTGTACTTGATGTAAATGTATTACGACGCCCTGTCATTGTGACTGACTTACTGAGGTAGTTCTTTACAGACCTTTCTCATCTAATGGGGATATGATAAAAACACATGTGCTGCGTAAGATGTTTCTGAAGAGCAAGTTCTGCATCCATACGCCCATATCGCCCCTCTTTTTGAGGAACTATTTTACTCCGCGATATAGCTGGTTGTTGTATGGCTGTCAGTGTAAACATGAAGTCACACGTACTAAATAAAATTGTGTTTAGATCTTGGCCTTCATCCTTTGAGGTAAGAAATTGTGATAAAAAAATTATAAGAATTGACCTTCACTTTGTGTGAGTTCATTGGAGTATGAACCTTCATAGAGTGAGGGCCAAACATTGTATGAACGTCGTCGCAAGCTCCGACGTTCATACAGTTTGGCCCTCACTCTATGAAGGTTCATACTCCAATGAACTCACACAAAGTGAAGGTTAATTCTTAAATAATCATATTTCAGCAATGTTCATCCCTTATGTGTACTGCTGCTGCTGGCAAAATATTCGGACGAAGGAACGCGTGTAAATGCACTGCTATAAACTCATTTGTCTTCAGACAAGATTACGAAATCAGCGTACGTAATAAATTTAGATCTGCTTGATTTGAAGACGTGAATGATGCAAAGCTCAAATGGTTTAGATCTGTAAAGGACGCCAGTGAGTGGCTATCTACTTTGCCGAGTTCCTGCTGAGAAATTAGGCATTTTAGACTTCTACCCAAATTAAAGTTGTTTGAACCGTCTTTAAGCAACGCAACGGCTTAGACTTTCGTAAGATGTGTGGCTTCATAAGGCGCAAGTGGATTTGGGGCCTGACCAGATTTACAATGTTAATGAAACCGCCATATTCCTTCGTATCATGTCTGAACGCACACTGGAGCCTACGGGTGTTTGTGAATTAAAGGTATTTTACGTTTGTATAATTGTGTCACGTGACATGTCAAATGGTTGTCAGTCGTTTGTTGTGAGTTGAGTGAGTGAGTTAATATTTAACACCACAGCGGAAATATGTTAACCATATCGTGTTTGTTGTGAGTTGAGTGAGTGAGTTAATATTTAACACCACAGCGGAAATATGTTAACCATATCGTGTTTGTTGTGAGTTGAGTGAGTGAGTTAATATTTAACACCACAACGGCAATATGTTAACCATATCGTGTTTGTTGTGAGTTGAGTGAGTGAGTTAATTTTTAACACCACAACGGCAATATGTTAACCATATCGTGTTTGTTGTGAGTTGAGTGAGTGAGTTAATATTTAACACCACAACGGCAATATGTTAACCATATCGTGTTTGTTGTGAGTTGAGTGAGTGAGTTAATATTTAACACCACAACGGCAATATGTTAACCATACCGTGTTTGTTGTGAGTTGAGTGAGTGAGTTAATATTTAACACCACAGCGGAAATATGTTAACCATATCGTGTTTGTTGTGAGTTGAGTGAGTGAGTTAATATTTAACACCACAACGGCAATATGTTAACCATGCCGTGTTTGTTGTGAAAGTGTCATGGGGGAACTGTACAGTAGAATTACAGTTGAGCCACTGAGTTCTCTTAAATAGTACCGTTTCTAAATCACAGTTTAAACTATCAATAGCCGTGTGTTAGGGACCTTGGGTCAATCCATAATGTTTAAGTAATTTACTAACATGACATCAGTTCAGATCTGACTAATTGAAGTTCGTATACAAATCAATAGCACTGATCGTTTCACCTGGAACGAATACAGCCGCATTAATACCTATTCATTCTATGATAATAGACACTTCTGCATAGTTTTGTCCCGCTTGATAATGATGTTTTCTTGTATCTGATCCTCCCAGTGTGACAATTCAACATGACGAACCAAACAAGCTCTCTTTCTGCTGTCTCGTGTGCTGGTCACTCAAAGCATCAATACATAATAGTGGCATCATAATATGCATAGCTATTAGTTATGTTTTACAGTGTCTTTGTGCTAAGTTAATTTACCACACAGTTTTAATACTAACCAAAATTGTTAATCCTAATGATTAAATATCAACCACCACTTCAATCAACTTGTTCATATGTAAGATCAGCAAGCCTGTTAGGGTTCACTTGAAATTTCACCAAAAGCGTCCAATGAAGCTTTAGCTCACCTCACCTTAGAATTTTTCTAAGAAATTTGACATACATTTTACAGGATTGTACGAAATTGTGTAAAATGTAAAGGGAACATGGTACACGTCAAAAAAGAGAATTGCATTCGACACTATTTTTGTGACTGATGCGTCACATTTAGAAATGTCCTCCATATGTTTACCATAAACTGTTTTGAAAGTTTTACTGAGGCCTTGAATGTTGGTTGTATCCTTGCTCAAACAAGTTTTAGCAAGAGTCGTTTGATTCTCTTTGAAATCTTCGAAGAAAGAGCATGCTCGATTGCACCTCAAAATTAATGAAATATAGACACCAATGGTCGAGCTGCTGGGATATTGCTCGACCTACAGAGAAAGTTGAAGTCATTCTTCTTGTCATACAGTCTTATGCAGAATTTTCTGTCATTCAATCTTTATGCTCATATCTAAATATGAAACAGTCGAGGCGGTCTCACTGGTCTCCTTTATTTCTAGTTCAGGTGGGTAAATTAGTAAAAGGGAATTGGCTATTTGATGGTTAGTGAACGATATCAGATCATCGATACACCTGACACCTATGTTTATGTGACAATTGATGTAAGAGCCAGGAAGATAACGCACTATCGAGATGATTCTAGGTGTAATAAGATTAGGAATCTCTAACAAATGGGGGATGAGAATTATAAATAGTCCCAGACAAATTCTTGAAAAAAATATATGCTTCAGACTGTTAAAAAAAGAGAAATTGTCTGCCACAAAAATAACATTGTTGCAAGGTGTTTTTCTTATAAAAAAAAATTCAGGCTCACCGTTTTAATAAAAACTATCTGGTTTTGAAGCTGTAGCTGAAAAATATCTTATCTCCAGACAGTATCCCAGTTCTGTGTTCATTATGTTGCCTCGTCCATCATGAACGTAATGATAATAAACAACAATAGCAGTTTCATCGTGTTGAATTTTAATGCGTTATTGGGCAGCATGTAACAATGTAAATGAAAAATGTTGCATGAATAAATGTAAAGCGTTAAACCGACATTTACAATAGTTTCTATGGTATTGTGGCCATGAATCAAAACTGGAGCATAATTTCTGTGACAACTTCTCAAACGCAAATTGTTTAGGTTTTCTTTCGTAATTTGTGCAGCTAACGTTGTGGTTCAATTGTGTGTTATAGATGGACAAGAAGTTCAGCTACAATAAGTTTGAACATGGACATGTGTTCAATGTATGGTCGAAGGTGTAAGGGTTGGTCTTATCCGTCCATCGTCATTGTAGGCGTCATTAAAGACATGTCAAGATATCGGTAGTAGACATTACTGACACAAATGCCACAGATAAACTTGGAAATAAAAATTAAAAGATATTGTTAATCATAAAATAATTCCATCAGTGTTGGTCGTAAATAAACAGTCATTGAAGGTAGTCTTTGGTATCCATTTAGAAAATGTTTCCTAAATTGATACCAGCCACAAGTCAGGTATACTGCCTCATCGCCTTGTGTCACATGATACAAGTAGGTATTGATTAAAGACGGTAAAGATACCCATCAAATTATCGCTACTAGTGGTACCTGTATTGCAATAGTAAAACTGCCGTCACAAGTCACCCTATATATGAACTGAAGGATTCGCTTCCCCAAGTATATTGTTGGACTCTCAAATTCTATTTTGACCAGAAGGATGTATTTGTAAGTTTGCAAGAATGCCCTTAATTTCTTCTGAAATGTATTATTCTTCATGCTGTAAACTTACATTTCCAATGTATTGAGTCCATAACACGATCCTGAATACAAGTACTAGATACAAGAGTACAAGTGTTATCTACTGGAGTACAAGTACTAGATACAAGAGTACAAGTACTAGATACAAGAATAAAGTGGTATCTACTGGAGTACAGGTGTTATCTACTAGAGTACAAGAACTAGATACAAGAGTACAAGTGTTATCTACTAGAGTAAAAATACTAGATACAAGAGTACACGTGTGAGCTACTCGAGTACAAGTACTAGATACAAGAGTACAGAAGTGTGTTATCCATAAGTGTACAAGTACTAGATACAAGGGTCGTATTGGCAAGAGTCGGGGGTTTCTAAGTGAATGTCTCGAGTAGTTGGTAAAGTATAGAATTAAGAGTGGTACAGAACCGCTTTGTTGGAGTAGACCTGGCATTTGCACCATGAGAACAAATATTTTTGGCTATCACACATTCATTTGAAAAAGGTAGAAACAAGATCACGGGACACAGAAAGTCATCAAAACAAATACATGTACTGGCAAATAGTGAATTTTGTTTTAACGCCTCTTTGAATTTCAGTTAAGTCACGGTATGTCAGACTGATGTGAAAGGCCAGGTGGAGGTTATCGACGTCCCAGACGTTGACCACTGTACTGTAGTCCAGGAACACGGGCATGGTGCTGACAAACCTAGAACAAGAACATGTTTTATGCAAAGCATCAACACAGCGGCAAACTATTTGTTCGTCACATTATATTTACAAAAGAATAATTTCCCTTAAATATTTCTTCAGCACAGGCATGTTGAAGACAATATGAACAATATTAAACCATGTTTTTGACTACTATGCGATTACCCCCATCACATACTGAATTTGATAAACAGTCTTTCCACAGTAAATGAGCGTAGTATATATTCTTTATTCATCCTCCGAGTTGCGAGATTACAGTAACATGCTTAGGAGATTGAGTAAGTTATGTACGTACTTGGATGTGACTTATGTTATTGGCACAGATGATATACAGATGGCTTTACTTAACATTCATTGGAGCTCGTTGTGGCAGTGCTTTTGTCCTCCACAGATCAGGTGGACATATCTGACACACACACACACAGATGTTTTGTTTTGTAATAGCATTACTGCCAACACAAAATCATTTAGAAGAAAGATATAATACTCGTTCGAATGCATTGTTCGTTCACTAGTTCCACTGTTTTTAAATGTTTGACTATTGTTTTGCCTCATATGCGGTTACCTCCCTTACCTACCGAGTTCTTACAATCCGCGGAAGCACAGTATACTTCAGGTCACGGTTCGTCTGGCTTTTATATTATTAATGACAAACTATCTAACATATTATATGAATTTAGGGGTGTCATTAAAAATAAAACTGAACAACTAACAATGTTCCAAAAAGGTGGGGGTGCAGGGTGAGCCCGGGATCAAAGGGTTCTGGCACATCCAAGGGTCGGCGGGGGGACGCGCGCGCTGTTCTGACATTCCTACATGTGTCATAAAGAGCAAAGAGTTACACCTCAATAAGGCTATTGCACATGAAACGTATATAGGGACGTATTGGAAAAAGGTCAGTTACGTGGATCGATGCTCATGATGTCAATCAGGTGGAACGATGTGGAATAGTGTCAATCACTGGATTATCTGGTTATTTACAGAACGCCGTCATATAACAACAAATGATAGCCTTTTGTTGTCCAGACAACAGCTGTGTCAACACTGCAGTGTTTTCTTGTATACTGACACACTATGAAAACGAATAGTGGAATGTGGGAAATAATTCAACTATGAAATGTCAGAAAAAAAAGAAATTGGTATGTGGTAGTGAGGCTCAAGGGCATTCAACATTGTAATCCTTATTCACCTGGACATACGCTTCCAGTTATTTGTTCCTGATCAAGAGTCAAAATCCACTATGTGTTTTCAAAGTGTTCCAGTATATATACTTATCAAGCACCAGGACAAGGAACATCGTCGGTCAGTGAAGGGTATTCAGCAGCATGGCCCTGAAAAGCGAAGTGAACAAGTCTGTACTGTCATCGTGGATTTTACAAGTCAAAGGCACTTCGCAGTTTTCAGCACATCTAATAATCACAGAGAGTGGAGATTCCTGCTCTTTACGTTTCCAGGTCGTGGCTGTACGCGTGTAAGTATATATGAATTGCTGAACGGCAGATTTAAATTACACACATTTAAGATGATGACGTCGATTTTCCGCGTATATTTTGCCCAATTTTACGAGTAACTAGATCTTAATATTACACAGAATTGATAGATGCCGTTATGGTATACCGTAAAGTATATATTTTAGATCATGTGTATGAAATAATAAATATTACATACCTGTGGGCCTAATTTTACTCATTTAACCTGCATGTATGACATGAAAATGACATGAAAACCAAGTTTGTTATCACCCGTTCGTTCACCTGAAATACCTAGTTTTTGATTGAGTATCTTTGTTTCCAAAATACTCTATCCGACTTATAGAGGGTGATGGTATAGTAAAAGAAAAATAAGGTAATCGAAGCCGGACTAGACAATCCTGTGAGTGATGTTACGCTCAGCCTGACCACCCGTTCCATTTAGTCCCCTCTTACGACCAGCATAGGTTGCTAGAGACCAACTCTAACACGGAATCCCCGCGGGTTCTCAACTTACTCACTTCGCTACATAACTAGCAGTGGGGTGCACATCTACATCAGGGACCATCAGTTGTAAAAATAATTGTATTTATTAAAACAAACCACTGTGCAATATTTTCTTGTGAGGTGAGGTGAGGTGAGGTGAGGTGAGGTGAGGTGAGGTTTAACGTCGCTTTCAAGAATATTGCACTTATTTTGCGACGAGTATGAACGTGTGTGTGGCTGCTTGTACTAGTCCGGACTAATGCCGATTTTACACTGCTAGCCCACTCAGATACCATGCCACAGTTTAACATGAATACCCCATTAAACACAGTATACTGACTCCGAACCAACCACTTCTTGATTTAGCCACTTAATGCCAAGTGCCAGGCAGGATAACAACAAGTACCATATTTTACCGTCTTCGGACATGACGTCAATACTTTCTTGTACATATAAACATAACACGTCAACGCCAGAGAAAAACACGTCTCGATTACCTGCCGAAACAGATTCCATTCGGCGGAAAAGGCAAAATAGGGGTGAAATGTATGTGAATGGATCACTGACAATTTGAATCACTTGACCACCTACATGAATATTGTCAAAAGGCATCCCCACCCCTCCAAAAAGAACAAAAAGAAGAGAAACTTAAAACAATTAGAAATAAAAATGCACTTTGATATGGTAAATCCTTGTTATGTCTTCTGGCACTGATAAATACATTTGTCCTGCAAAGTTTCATAGCCTGCCGGGACGATAATTTCTACACGTCTACACGTGCATGGTACAGACACACATGGTGAATATCCCGACATGTGTAACGATGTCGGTGTGGTCGTAGATGTGGACTTCCCAGTTTAAGATAAAGGTATTCTATGTTGCTCCACGCGTAACTGAAGGTTCTTCGACGATGGCGTAATGTCAGAGATGAACAAGGCAGTAACAACCTTTGTTACATCTGCCAATGACAGTTTCAAATCCAGTTTTTCATGCATCTTCCCGATGCAAGGGCGTTATCTGACCATAAAAGTCCAGTTTAAACAAGACTTTTATAGTAAGCTAAAGCCCTTGCCTCGGGAAGATGATTTTCTTGGTTAAGCTGTAGAGAAACGTTCGTTGCAGCAAAAGCAGACGGGCGTCGAAAGAATAAACGATCGTCTCAACATCTCAAAAGTTAATTTTTATTTACAAATCAACATATCAATCAGTACAACTGGAAATAGCGCTTTCTCTTGTCGCTAGCATGGTGTAGTTACTGGAATGATCCAAATACAGATAAGGTGTGTCAACTGAAATAGCACTTTCTCTTGTCGCTAGCATGGTGTAGTTACTGGAATGATCCAAATACAGATAAGGTGTGTCAACTGAAATAGCGCTTTCTCTTGTCGCTGGCATGGTGTAGTTACTGGAATGATCCAAATACAGATAAGGTGTGTCAACTGAAATAGCAAAACACAACAAAAGGAACCATGACTGATGAGAAGTCTCGAGCTCATCTTGTATATGACGTCTCAATCTTGGCGCGAACTGACATTCACGGTTACATCTTTGTAGGTTATCTCTCACTCTGAAAGTTATACAAGGTCAGAAGAAAACTACAGGCTAGGATCGAATGTCAACTGGCATGAATGATATCCTCAATAGATAATGAAGGAAAGTTATGAATATGTACCTTGGGTCCATATGGTGTACTTCAGAACAGTTAGTCTGCAAAAGGAGAATGCTGTCCAAATATATTTCTATTTATGTAGAAGATTGTGTTCTAATACAGTTTGGCAAGGTCATGTGAAGGTTACATAGTAATGGTTACTCAAAGCGATCGCCATCGCCTTGCGATTGACCACCAATTTCACGTAAACAAACTGTGGTAACTGTTATGGAACGGTCAATATAATTAAAGAAATAGATCATGAATTAACAGGGTAATAAATGTTCATAAAATACGTCATGGTGGGGCATAAGACGCCTATGCGTCTCTTGTGATCATATGCTTGCCATCGGTTCCTGTCTCATATATGCGCGAGTTAAGCCTAACCCATTACCTTATACACTTGACACCTTGCATGTTTTCTCCGTGTCACAAGACTAGCAATGCGTTACATTGATTTATGCAAATGTAGCTGCTACAGCAATGATGACGACGACAATAATAACAATTACTATCCCTGCCACAATCAGCATACATCTCCGTGACCTCTTCCGGTGTCTCTTGGCTTGTCTCAGTTTGGTATTCCCTTCTTCCACATGTGTCGCGGTCTGTGTCATGTTGGATTCTATGTTGTCCAGCTTCTCACCTTGGTCGTGAACAAGCACACTCATGTCTTTAAACAGCTGGTTCACATCAAACACATTCTTCTCCAATGCGAGAATATCTTTTTGTCTGTCCTCTATTTGGCGAAGCTGAGACGCTGCGTCCTGCGTGTCCGAGATGAAGTTTTGCGTGAATGCATTATAATTATCTTTCTGAAGAATTTCGTTCACTTCGTCGTCGCTTATGTTGTTAGTTCCTTTAGTGACCTCAAGTTGTGAACGCATCCTCTTCTTCATCTTGTCCATATAATCTGCCTGAATTTTGAAAAACGCATTGGTGTAAGCCGCGAGCGTATTCGTCAGTCGGTTCAGCTGGTGAGTTCTCACCCTCTGTAGAGCAGTAGTCCCGTCGGATCCCGTCTTCTCGCTTGCAGTCTCCTGCTCAAGGACTCGAAGTTTTTGCCTAGCCTCACTAGATACCTAGAGAGCACACAGAGACAGTGTTATATTTTCCATCATTGCAACAAAGTAGAGCATTTAGAGAAAATTAAAGAAAACGGGCAACATGCAGACTATACCTGTTCCGCGAGAATCAAATATCAAGGTTTGGCGATCGCATCCTCGATATGTTTAATCCATTCTGTCATAACATATACATATCATTTTCCCTTCCGCCCAGTCCTATTTGTAATGCAAAAGCCCAAAATGAAGCAAGTTTAGATTTTCCTCAGGTGCGGGTCTGAATCTCCCGCCTTACTGGGGTTCCTTTTCAATTTAAATGAAGTCTTTGCTTCTAACAAAATTATTTATTTTCAGAGATTAAGTGTTAGTCTTAATTCACCATCACAGGCATCCCCATCTCCATATCAGGCCCTCATATCTTTTCAAATGAAAAGAAGTATTATCGGAATTAAAGTAAGCAATATCATGTGTATGGTTACCAAGTGGAAAGGAATAGTTTTAAATGCGAAATCCAGTACCTATATATGGTCGTAACAGGGGTTCTCATTCGAAACACCACACAGCCACTATTAGAACCGACAGCCTCGGCAACCGAATACACTCGGTCATATCCGTTAAATTCCGCATTTCGCCCATCTACATCAATCCTTATTGGTATTACTTATACTAATTATTGATATTACAGGGCTAATAAAACATTCTGCCACTCAATGTAACCAGTAAGGAATTCGTCTGTGGCTGATTGGCACTTAAACAATAATATTAATTGATATGTATTGTATTAACAAATACCATAAACAGATCCTGATGTGTGTGTGTTTTGGCTACCACAGTTGCCAAGATTGCTGGGATCTGGGCGAATGGGAGAGATGCCAGACAACCTCAGCGTGTTCAGAGACCCTACCTGACTATACTGTCCATTTATTTGCGATAACTGATACAAGAACTTCTTTGATAGGCATTTGGAAGTTGGAGTACTAAGTAAGGATAAGATTTATGGATGAACAACTTCTTTATTACAATTAAGAGCGACGATTCGGTGTAGGTTCTAACACTGTTATCAAGCAAGTAAAAACACGTCTTCTACTTCAGATAACAAATTCTGATGCAGATGAATACTAGTTGCTCAATGCCATGGATGCTACGCTTAAAAGTCATGACTTCAATCAGACTAACCAAAAGAAAATACGTCGCTTGCCGCTTATTTCTTTATCGCCGAAAGTGTTCGGTGTTGCCAGTTAACTACGATTGGCTTTTGACCGAGTTTCCCATAGCAGTTGTGCACGTTTTGTTTGTTTGTTTGTTTCTTGTTTAACGCCACACTCGCCAATATGACGGCGGTCTGTAAATAATCAAGTCTGGACCAGACAATCCAGTGATTGATATCATGAGCACCGATCCAAACAATTGTACGGTGCACCAACAAAGTCAGCGAGTCTGACCACCGGACCCCGTAAGTCGCCTCTTACGACAGCGTGGTATTCCGCTAACGACCGCTGACAAATTCGATAGTGCTTCTATTCACAACGCCTTTTATTCAAATAGATAGGAGGGCCTGCATATCTCTTATCACAAAATTCCGACAGGAGGTGTCTCTCGCAGGCGGGTATAATGTGATGGGATGGCATTTTTTCGCGCGCTGACATTAGAATCAGACTTAAATCGAAGCTATGGTGGCGAGAATCCGAGATATTTTTCATATAAGAAAGGTGATATAAGACACTGGATAATCGATCATGTGGCGAACGATATGCACTAAACATTAATGAGACGGAAAGAAACAGATCTGTTAAACTTTAAACATGATCTAATCCATGTTCACCCAAAGTCAATAATAACACATGCCACACTATCATGAATGTTATTACTTAAGAGTTATCTCCTGTTAATATGATTGACTTAAAGACCTGATAAATAGCGTAACCTGGAATTTAATATGGGTACAAGTTAGTCTCCAATCAAATATATCCAAATCACATATCAGCATTAAAAATCAGATATAAAAAAGATCCCCTTAAACACTAAGACGGCAGATCTGACTAGTTTATAAATGACTTTCAAAATCTAAGAGGGGACTAACGGGATCCTTGGTGATCAGGCTCACTGATTTGGTTGATGCATATCATCGTATCCCAATTGCTTATATCGATGATCATGATGCCAACCAATGGATTGTCTGGTCCAGATTCGATTATTTACAGACCGCCATCATATAACTGGAATGTCGGTGTGTGTGGCGTTAAACAACAGTCAAACAAACAAAGCCTTCAAAAGAATAACAGCTGCAGGGTCCAACCCAAAGGATGCTTTGTACAGTTTGATCACCCCACGGCAAATTCTTCCTTTGTTATCATGACAGTATTTTGTACATGAATTTGACCATCCATGTTAGTAAAAGGCATGTCCAAAATAGTCCCAGAACTGTTAAACTAGATTGACCAAACGAGGGTACACTCAATGTAACAACTATGTACAGCATATTACTGGTGAGCGAGTGACCATGAACCACGCACCTCATATCCACCTGCACCCGTCAAACTCCGGGGTAGAATAGGTCTTCAGAAACCCATGCTTGCCGTAAAAGGAGACTTGTCGGATCGGGTGGTCATGCTCGTTGACTTGGTTGATGCATGTCATCGTATCCCAATTGCGTGGATCCATGTTCATGATATCAATCACTGGATTGTCTGGTCCAGACTCGATTATTTACAAACCACCGTCATATAGCTGGAATATTGGTGAGTGCGGCGTTAAAACAACAAAAAACAATCTCCAGTCTACATGCAAGTGCCATATGTGAACCCATTGTCTTTGTAATTTGGGTATGAGATGCTTGATTTGGGGTTTTACACTTTGTCATGTTCTTCGAGCCTGATGTCAACCTACACCATGCACGTACATAATGTACCTGCACTGTGCAACAACCTTCAGTTAACATCACTCAACTGTTTAAAGGTTTCATATAGCATTGCTCAAAACCTAGTTTCTTTCAACTATCATTTGAAACACGACACACCTTTTCAGGGCACTTTAAGTATGAAAGGAGTAGAAATTGCGGTCTGATTTTCATATGATCAAAGACGAAGTTGTTTGAAAACAAAACGTACATAAACAGGTAGTATAATGATCAGGTGGTAACGAGCAGTATTCTCAATCACACATCCAAACATGTTACACAATGCAAATTGACTAGATCCCACAACACCATAGCTTCCTAACAGATCAATACCGGAAACAGCCGCCATGATTGCATTAATTACTGCAGGTACATTATGTGCATAGGTAGCCCACCTGTTGAACATGGTTAACAATCTGTTCATATTTGTACACGTCCGCCTTGTCACAGAATGGGGAGCTGAGTATGCGTTTCTGAAGATCTTCCATTTCCTTCACATTTCTATTAATTGTTGTCAGATTTCCCTCGATGTTCCGAACTTGTTCTTGAAGCCCTTCCATGTCGTCCGCCACCTTAGATTTCTTTTTTGTCTTCATTTTATCCTTATCAACGGTCTTAGCTCCCTTCTGACCTGCTTGTAGCTCTGCCAATCGGTCCTTTACCGCCGCCATATCACAATACTCTCCTATGAAATAACAATCTGTATCGTACGGTCTCCGCTTGAGATTGTGTGCCGCTGTACGTGTTGATCAGGGAAGTCCCATCTGGGAGATTCCACTCAACGGGGGGTATAGTTGGATAAGTGAGCAATAACTTGTCTCGTTTTGCATAATAGAAACAACTAGACAGATGACATATAATAGCGTTACTTGAAGTGACGTGAAGCTGTTGTAGAATAAATAGTTTACACCCGTTACAAGCATTATTATAGCTGTTTATTACTTTTCTTGCTGATATACATAATAGACTCGTCGGTTTCTAAAAATAGAACTCAGGCCACCTCCGCGTCTGACTCAGTGCGTTGACAGTCGATCTAATTACAGCATATGGCTCAAGGAATCGAACAAGCTTTTAAGGGCGTGTGTTGATGTTTTTCTTGTTTTCTATGATGACACTGTATACATGTGTGATTGCAAATATCTGTGGTGTATAAATGCGCACATATTTAATCATTAGATGTTGCTATCTTACTGAACAATCACATATGTACATTCTCACCCGCGCATGAATCATAGCACGCTAATTATAAGAGGCGCTATATATTTATACTTTATGTCGCAATGTGGTTGAACCAATGTTGAGGCAACGTTAGATTATAATTTTTTTAATTTTTTAAGGTGACAACTTTGGGAGCCTGGGATATATATGCGTATGTATAAATAACCATTGTTTAACCCATATGATTAATGGTTTGTCTTTATTGCCTATGTTTATAATTTCTGGTGTCCCCCGCCGTGATATTGCTGGAATATTGCCTAATGCGGCGTAAAACCATACTCACTCACTCACTCATCCCATATTTATATATAACCATACGAATCACACGTGCAAGAAGGATTTCCTGCACTCTACAATTGTTGATGTTATACCACCCTTGCGTCATACTATTTGCGCTACGGGGAAGTAGGCATTACCTTCCCCAGATAGACGTATTTGGGTGAAACCCGAGCCTTGCATCACAATTATATATTATCCATAACCCGTTGTTTCCAAGAACACGTAGACAAACGTGGTTTTAGCGACCAATATAATTTATAACGTCATGAGCAACGATATATACAGTTTTTGTAACAATGAATTTATATAATTTGACGTCACCAATACTGACGATCGCTTCGCAAATAAACAACAACATATGACCCAATCAGCAGTTAGCCAAAATAATCCTCCTCAGTGAAACTTAATGAATATAGTTTCATGGATATCAGTGTACCTATTGATATTAAATAGACGCCAAATGTTCAACTTCTACAAACAATGTGACTTTGGTCCTTTCCTCCCGGACTAAGCTGACCATGACGCTGTGTGCATGGCATTACCGGAATCCTAAACACTCAAACTTAACGCACCTCGGCTACTCACGAACCGCCATAATACTCCGTTACTTACGATACGATACCAAAGAATGAAATGAAACACTTATTCGAAAAAGTAATAAATTAAAAACAATGCCCAAGAATCAGCTTGATACATTTTGCATCCACATAGGAACCACAGTTTGTGAGAGTTATCATAGACCACAGACAGGCCGTAAGTTAAGTACGCGTTATATTTAGATTCTGCTTTCACGTAGTTTCATCTATTTCCGTGATCTTTGAAATATCCACCACGCCTTGCTATGCCTTCCGTATCAATTACAATGCAAATTTGAGAACTATGAGGTTGTTTTTATTTGGGGGGGGGGGGGGGGGGGGGGGGGGGGCTGTGTGTGTGTTTGATTTTTTGGCACTCAGAAATATTCCAGCTATTCCGGCGGTTGGTAAATAATCGACAAGCACAGTCGCTTCTTACGGCAAGCATGGGCTGCTGAAAGCCTATTCTACCCCTGATCTTCACGGGTCTTGAGTTTTTAATTTCTTATGCAAGGTATGAGTGATTTACTGGGAATGCGTTTTGTCGATCTACAGGCGAGATCTGTAGATCATGAATCAAGTGATATGCCTACGTGTGTTAACAGCATATGGACACGTTGCAGAACATACCTGAAAATTGTCAGATAATTTTTCAAAGAGTGGTTAAAATGTCAATATTGTTTAATATTAGACGATGTACAGTATATACATGTGCACAATACAGCCTTTGCGTGACAAACCACCCACTGCACGAAACGTGTGTATAGTGTAGCCGTGACATTGATTTGGAATTGCATAATCTTTTATTTACTTATTTTTTAAAATTTTCATAGCAGCACTATTTGCTATTGACACAAAGAGTTCAATGCCGAAAACCCCCTATGGATTGTTTCACTCAAACGATCCACAGCCGAATAGGCCCAAACCCGACCCAAGTTCATCACGAAAACATACATCCAAGAAAACTACATATATTTGTGTTTCTTTTATTAATTTTTTCAATTCATGGTAAAAATATACAATATTTTATATCCCTTTTTCACTGATAATAGTTACAGAAATATATTCATTCAAAGTAAAGCTATCAAAGTTCGCGTTAACTACCGTAAACATTTGTATCGTTAAGTCAACTAAATAACATATTTATCCTACACAATTACAAATATATGTATTTAATTTGCCATTAAAGATTCTCATGATTGTGGGTTAGTAAGTTGTCACATGCCCTAAAGCTGAACATTTCGTATTCGAGTTTTTAGAGAATATTTTACTATGTATGGAATGTCTGTCCCTGGTGATTTACTTTTTAGCCCCGACCTTGGGCCAAGCAAAATTATATTTGTCAATGAAACTTGCAAACCGAAAATAATTTCCCCCGAATTCGTACCATAATGGGTAATCGGGCGAAAAATCAGTAGTCGTTGGTGATGCCTTATAATTAAGATTTCAAAATGAATAATTAACCCTGACAACACCAGGTCGTTGACAGACAGCACCAATATTTCTGAAAAAACCCAACTATTGGAGTTATCTCCCTTTGTTGCTCTCTCTGCTATTTCGGTAGATATGGTTGCAACATGGAGAAGTTGAAACTCGGTCATTGGGACACAAACTGTGAGGATTTCTGTGTTTAATACCTTGTATATTTCAGACGGAATATTTCATCGGATAGAATATGAACAGGTTATATCCTTAGAACTATTATATGAGACAAACAATGGATATTAGTGAGGACAACGTTCAAATGCTTCGGGACATGGGGTTTCCGTGCGAATCCGAAGTTAGGAGGGCACTCCGTATGGCCAAAAACGACCTGAACGAGGCAGTTGCCATCCTCGCAAATGATCACCCATCGTCGTCGTACGACACGCTAGATGACGTTGAAATGAAAGATGTGCACCGACGAAGCACACACACCCAGGTGTATGGACCCCATCTACCACCCGCCTACGACGAGGTAGTGGAATCCCAGGTGAGTTCTTCAATCATTGGATCAAGCGGCGGTGCATCACGCCCAACTCTTGACAGATGAAACTGAACAGGTCTCATTTACCTGACGCCAAAGTAGGTGCAGATATGTTAAGAGCTTAACGATATAACAGTTGAAATTTCGAATGTTGAGAATGTGTTGTAAGTATCTGTATGGACACGATGCTGTCCCGAACCCATGCTAATTCCACGTAAATCACAAGCGGTTGCAGGACTTTCGTACCTCAAATGTAATCCAACTCATTGCATTACTGTGTTGACGATGCTTAGAATTGCGTGTCAAACATGTTTTAATAGAATAACTGGATGCCTAAAATAACTGTAACAGGAAGTTATGCATCTGTTCTAATAATTATGTACCAAGGTGTAAATTAGGCAACCTGATTTCTATATGCTCATGTGCTTACATTCATTTGTCATATGTCTGTGCTCACTGTTATTACACCTAACACTATGATTTAACGAAGTTGAAAATGTATTTTACTTCCTTGCACATGTATAATTTACTCCAACTAAGCCCCCATCATATGGTTTCTTTAAGTGACACCAGCTTGCTTCTTGCATGTTTGGAAGTGTAACTGCTTTGTCTCTTTCCTGGGAAAAAAATCAACCGTGAACTTAATCCAACAAGTCAAATATGAAAGTAGGATGGTTTGCCAATGTTGACAAACAAGGATATTTATTGACATGATTCAGAAAATGGAAGGGCATACTTTGGTAGTGTTAATATATAGAAATGATATGAAAAAAGGATTTACGTGAAAAATATGTCTATATCACATGTTCAGGTGTTTCTGATAGTTTGAGTACACTTAGATCATCTTCAGCAGTTAATTTAACTATTTCAATCAATGGTTGATGTTTTCAACTTATATTACATTATTTGTGTGCGATAAATTAAGTCAGTTTTGTAGGTTGTAATGAAATAATTAAAAAAGAAGTTTTCATTTTGTTATGTTTTTTATTCCTCCCTCTTCATTCAGTGACAATGACATTGCAAGTATACATGTAATATTCCACATTTTAACGAAAATAGAGCCACTACTCACCATGCTAACTGTGTATATGACATTAACCATGTTAACATGACCAACACATGTTCATCAATGTTCATATGTACTATTGTCTGGATGACTTATTACATGTATCGAGGGGGGAGCACGGGTGGCACGGGTGGCACGGGTGGCCCAGTCGTCTAAGGCGCTGCGATTCGCTGTGCAGAGTTGCGTCCCTTGGGCACGCCAGAAACCTATGATTGTGGGTTTGAATCCCGGTTCGCCCCAATTAAGTTTCTAGGTTTGTTAGCACCATACCCGTGCTCGTGGGTTTCACCGAAGTGGTAAACGTCTGAGACCTGCATCACTTCGGGCTTTCCTCCCACATTAAGCTGATGCGCCGCGATATAACTGGAATACTGTTAAAAGCGGCGTTAAACCAAACTCACTCACTCTCACAATACTGGCTTACATTATAATAACAAAGGGCATCTTAGCAATAAAGCAATATGGCATTATTAAAACACAAAGCCATAGTCACCAGGGGTGTGATTCTCCAAGTCTGCATCAGACATCGTTGTTGCACAGTGGTACATCGTTGAAAGCCATCAACATGATCTCGGTTTTATCGGCCCTGACATGGGTACAATGTCACACACAGAGTAACATCATAGATACATCTGCAGGAGGCAACAAGTAGGGCTGTTTCAACACCAAATTACAAACTCCACTGCCCTTCTACAACAATCACAAGTGTTTTAAAATGCTTTGTCGATAAGCTACCTACTTTCATGGAAACACAAAAGCTTCTCGCTTGAATCAATCAGTCAGATCATAATCTGTACATTCAATTGCATATCAAGCAATTCACTCAACTGAAAGCCCCTTACCTCAAGTCAAGTCTATTTGCACCTAATATACTGATCAACAGATAAAAGTCTACACTCCATATTCAAACATACATCAGCACATATAACAATATCATACTGATAAGGCTGAAACTTTGTGTAAGTAATAAATAAATTTAGTTTCATCTGCACCCAACTTTGGTCATTGTTGACGATGTCACAGATATTTAAGTATTCTCTCATCTTGGTTACCTGCTTAAGCAGCTTTACAATGTTTACAGACCCGTGAACAGGTGAAGATCCAGTGTGGAATAGGTCTTCAGCAACCCATGCTTGCTGTAAAAGGCGACTAGGCTTGTAGTAAGAGTCGACAAAAGGGATGGGGTGGTCAGGCGTGCTGACTTGGTTGATGCATGTCATCGATCCCAATTGCGTGGATTGATGCTCATGATGTCAATCACAGGATTGTCTGGTCCAGACTCGATTATTTTCAAACCACCGTCATATAGCTGGAATATTGGTGAGTGCAACAAACAAACAATATTTACAATTGCATTGATACTGAAACTTTACATTGCACAAAAGTATTGATGTAAGGGAGATAACTCATTTCGGAAGTACTGGTGCTGTTATGATAGGACATTTATTTGAAGCAGTGAGTTCTGTGGCTTACCAGTATTATTAGTTTCATCATTCTTGTATCAAAAGAGATGGCCTCTCCACCTGCGAGGTTTTCAACCAACATGCCCAAGGAAACCAGTTACTTATCCAGGATAGACGTCTAATCTTACTGCAGCATTTGACTAGACTTCAAAATCATCCGTATTGTGCCAAATATGGCTAGATTGCAGTATACCGGGTATCTTCCGCCACAGTAATGATGATAAGAAGGCATGCTGTATTTATTTATGGTACATACCGAGTGTTAAGGTAACTGAAGCTGACACAGAAGTGCATCCAGAAAACATGAACATTGAGTTCCGAGACCTTGTCAACATTAGCTGTTAATAAACTGATGTTGATTAACAAACACAAATTTCGAGGTCGTTTTCCAACACTACTTGTCGCTAATAGCAAAGTCTAGATGTAGACTGAAAATGGACTTGGAATCATGGAGCATTGTCCCCCATGAAGATTTCACTACATACAACATGTGTAACACATCTGATGTTCAGTTCACTTTGAATGTACATTGTGATCAACAGTGCTCATGGTGCTTTGGGGCTTTACTTTCATGTACATACTGTTCCAGCTTTGTGGTTACACAAGTATTCTGTTGACCTGATATACAAAAGTAATAAGCTTTGTTTGTATCACTGTCTATCATGGTCTATAGAGTGTCAGTGTATACCGGTAACAGCTGAATTGCACATATTGCTAACTTTCACTCTAAGCGATAATGATGAGTGAAACATGCTTGTTAAAATATGTCCATGTGTGCACCATTGTGATATGTTGAGGGTATATTTTAGTCATTAAGGAGTTGGACATGCCCTGAAACATTGTGTATGTATATAAAGAAGTTATCTTTAGCACACTTTGTCACATTGTGATATGCAATGCTTATATTGTGAAACTTTGTTTTTGTTTGAAGGAGACGGGAGAGGCAAGCTATCCAGCATCCACATCAATGGAGGACAGCAACAGTTTGGAGTTTCCAGTCACCAACCTGTATGAGTTAGAGGGCAGAGTATTCACAGAAATGTGGAACATCCCTTATAAAAAGGAGGAATCTTTAGGCAAATGCCTGGTTGCAGCATCCAAGCTGGCTGAAGCAGGTACACCACAGGGACTCTCAGATGAGTGCTAGGGAAGTTGGAACCCCTCCCACCACTTCAATATTTCTCCCAGCCCTAGTGCAATAAAAAAACGTACCAAGTGCAATAAAACAAATGATGCATGGAAAACTACCTTTACAAATGCTCTTGGTTAGATTTAAGGCTGAAAAAACTAGTGGACTTATTCGATTATTAGCTATGAGTAACCATGGTGACAACTGTAAATAATGTGCACTTGTTTATTTTTTAATAATATCATCTCAACATGATCATGATGAAGAAAGTAAAGAAATGACAAACCAATGTACATTAAATATTTGAGAAAACTAATACTTTGTACATTGACATGATATGGCCAAAGGTAATTAAACTTAGTTGGTAGGTTCTATTTTTAGCCCGAAAGTCCAGTAAGAATATTTGACGGCCTGCTTGTCTGCCGTTGGTGGTGGCATCCATGTCGTCTGTGAACATCTTTTCAGAAGCCACTGAACCAGTGAAGCTGAAACTTCACAGGCTTGTTGCCACCATGTCACCTGAAATAGTGCAAGGGGTTGGATTTCAATCTTCAGTATGTAGAACATGATAGTGTACTGAAAAACCTATGTGTGGCCGTTCTCGGTCATTTTGATTCAAAATATAATGAAATTTGGTACATAGTATGTAGTGGGACTAACTTTGTGTTTTAACCATGCTCTTAACTTCTTTAATTGTTTAATTTTTTAACTTATCCTGCATTACTCCGTATTGCATTTACTGCTGTCTTTTGACAGAGAGACGAACTGTGTGAGATCCAGCTGCTGAAGAAAGTTGTCCCAACCAGCTCAGGAGGCAGCGCCCTCTCACAGTCGGCACATGACCCGGAAGTCGCACATGACCCATGACGTCACACCAAAACACATAACTGCTTTGTGACCTCCACGGACGGACGTACTTTGTATCCCTTGTATAAATTAAAGCTTATTGTTTTTATATTTTGCGTGTTACTACATTCATCGTATGCTGCTACATTGTTAACTGTTATGGGCCGTTACCTTAGGGTCTTCCCATTCGTTAATTGTAACGTTAATCGCTCGTTTGTGGCTCAAGTCACAGTAATTTCGGGCGCAATGTTGTTCCCACCATTTTGTTTTCTTTCCCGCCATTTTGGCCATTCACCACGTGGCCACGTAATTTCGTGTTCTGCGTTTTGAATCCTCTATTTGGCTTGGGTAATACATTAAATTTATGTATGTTGTTTTTGGTGTGCTTAAAGCCTTGCCTTTTCGCTACCTTTCAGCGTAATTGTTTCCTCTCATAAACTTCAATAAATACAAAGTTTTTCGAGTTACATTATGTCTCCCGTACTCTGTGGTCTTGCCACATGGTTACTTGTTTGCTTAAAGCTATGCTTTTTCGCTACCTTTTAGCGTTATTGTTTGATCTCATAAACTTCATTGAAATATGAAGTTTTGAGTTACATTATGCTTCCCGCACTTTGTGGTTTTGCCACATAGTTATGTTTTGCTTAAATGCCAGATTTTCTGCCTCGCTGCACTTGTTGCCGCGGGAACAAATCTGGTCGGGGCCGCCCCTTCTGCCGTGATTGTACGACGCCCTGTACGTCGCTGTGATCCTTCAGCTCATACGAGTATCCAGGACACACCTCGCTCAACGTGCTCGTCGACCCCCATCTACGTTGACAGCAGCAGTGCTCAGCCGAGCTTCGCAGTGCTATACCAACACCACCGGCGGCTCCGGCGCTCCCAACGTAGAGTCTGCCTCCCATGGCATGACATCCGACCGTTCACGGTCTCCTACACCACCCTTACAATCGTCTTCAGCATTGCCCGTAACGGGTTTCCTGTCACCATCTTCGTCGACAACGCTGACTACTCCTGCGCCTCAAGAGCTCCGGCGCCTCTGGCGCCTCTCGAGTTACAGCGTCTCCAGCGCTCCCGGCGCCTCTAGAGTTACGGCGCTCCCTGCGCCTCTGGTGTCTCCGGCGCCTCTGGCGTCTCTAGAGTTACGGCATCTCCAGCGCCTCTTGAGTTACGGCGCCTCTGGCGCCTCTGACTACTCCGGCGCTCCTGGCACCTCTGGCGCCTCTGACTACTCCGGCGCCTCTATGGTTACGGCGCCTCCGGTGCCTCTAGAGTTACGGCGCTCCCAGCGCCTAGAGAGCCCCGGCGCTCTCGGCACCTCTGATGTCTCCGGCGCCTCAAGATCTTCGGCGCCTCTGATGTCTCTGTCGCCTCTGACTACTCCGGGGCCTCCAGAGTTACGGCGCTCCCTGTGCCTCTGATGTCTCCGGCGCCTCTGGTGCCTCTAGAGTTAACGCGTCTCCAGCGCCTCTAGAGTTACGGCGCCTCTGACTACTCCGGCGCTCCCGGCGCCTCTGGCACCTCTGGCGCCTCTGACTACTCCGGCGCCTCTAGGGTTACGGCACCTCTGGCGCCTCTGACTACTCCGGCGCCTCCAGAGTTATGGCGCTCCTGGCGCCTCTGTTGTTTCCGGCGCCTCAAGAGGTCTGGCGCCTATGATGTATCCGCCGCCTCAAGACCTTCGGCGCCCAGACCAACAAGCTTTAACAAGCACAGATCAACAAGCTGAGTATCTCATCCGATCTTCTGCTTCGGCATAAGGGGCACCATCGGCAATCGCCTCCACGGCGCCACTGCCATCTACTTCTATTACTGACGTCTCATAGCTCGTCACACGGAGAAGCATGGTGAAACTATCGCCGCTCCTGTCGCTACTCTCCCGTCGGTCTTTGTGATCGTGACTATCGTTCTACTTCCTGGGTTGAATCTTTTCCACCAATAGACAGTTGGTCTGATTCAACTTGCCCACTGAGACGTTATCCTTAATCCCGTCGTTTAAAGCGCTATGGTTCCGGAGAGATGACCTGCGGGTTTCCATCGAAACAGAGCGTCTTGTGAACAGCGCCTGTATCAGATTCGACGACGACATCCACTAAGAAAGAGTCTACTTCGTCGACATCGCCGACACCAACGCTGTTCTACCCTGCCCTAGCGCCAGCGTTCCTGAAAGAGACTCTTTTCGGCGCTCCCCGGGTTTTCCATGACGCCCCCGGTGCTTCCGCGTTTTTCGCAAATCTTGGGTACACCACTTGTTCGTCTATCACACAGTTCATTGAGGATTGTCTGTGTGTTGAGTTTGCACCTCAGTTCCGACTCCAATGCGGCTTTCTCGGCTACTGCGCAGAGTGATTTACATGTCACGTGTCAAATACTCGGACTGTCTACAACTCCGACCAGAATTAGGTCCACTTACCATGGCAAGAGGTGCAATGTATTTCTACAGATTGGCTTACATGTTTACCTGTATGCTTGGTGCAACCACTCAACCGGGCGCCTGTCGCAGTCCATCCATGCACAGATGATGGATTGTGACCAACTGTGATCCGGAGATCAACACCATTAGCACAGCACCAGCCTCGAGATAAAGGCTTATCCAGGACGTCACTTGCTGGCAGTGAATTCTCGGTCACGCCCTGTTGATCATGTCCACTGACAACGTCACCATAGTGTGGTGTTTGTACTCGCCACACTCCCGGCGCTAGCAATTCCACCGACGCCCCTGAGAATCAACATCTCCGGCGTTCCCGGCGCCTCAAGCTCTACGGCTTTTCTGACGCCTCCGGTGCTCCCGGCGCCTCCGACGCTTCTGACGCCTACGTCACACCGGGCGCCTCGAGCTCTCCGACGCCTCACGTCTCCGGCGCCTCTGGCCAGACTATGTCAAACAGTCGACTCCCCAAACATAGATATGTTTGCCACATCTCTGAAAGATGCCAGCTGTCGTCTTGCATTCCACCAGTGCCGGATACGGCCGCTGTGGCAGTCGGCGCCTTCAGCTGTTCCTGAGCAGGATTACTCGCGTACGCTTTTCCGACTCCGGGTTCTCCCTCCCCCGGTTCTTCAGAGATCCAGGCCACTCTGCACCTGACCTTGAGTTTGGTCTCGCCTTGTTGGCCAGCCAGAAGTTGGTTTATCGACCTCCGAAACATAGCCAGAGACTACCCCTGGAACTTCCGGTGTGGTCCAACCTTCTGCTCCATCCACACAGTGGGTTGCCACACCCTAATAACAGCATGGTTTCGTCTGCACGCCTGTCACATCTGCAGAAGCCCCATGAGCCAAGGGCTATTCGGCTAGAGTGACCAAGGCTATTGCTTCAGCCCAACGTCCATCTACACGGGGACTGTATGCTGATAAATGATGCTCGTTCCAGGCATTTTGTTCAGACAAACACCAGGATCCGATGACAGGGTCACTGCAATTCCTGGATCAGTTCCTTCTGTACTTGCGCAGCACCTGTCGGTTGAAGGGCTCTACCATCTCCACATACCTGGTCGCCATCAACTCCGTTCTTGCCATCCCGGACGATCGGAGAATGACGAAAATTCCCGATCTACAGGCCTGGCTGCGCTTGTTCAGTCTTGAAGACCAGTTCCCACCGCCTATGTTGGATCTGAATGTGGTCTCAAACGTCCTTCGAACCACTCCCCTCGTCTTCCTTCTACGACCTAAGGAAGCAGACGGTGTGTCTACTGGTTTTGGCTACTCCCGCTCGAGTCCATGTACAGCACACCCTCGACGTCTCCTGTGTCCGGTATGAATGCGGTACCCAGGGCGCCGTTCATCATGGACCGTCCTGGGACTTCAGCGTAAAGACTCAACTCCCAGGACAGCCTGATAGATCAATCTTTATCCCCTCTCCCCTCGTCCATTGTGGGTGCCGAGAATGAGGAGGAGCGTCATTATGCCCAGTAAGGGCACTGAAGGTTGTTCTACGATGATCTAAAAGCCTGCCGCAAGTCTAGGAAACACCTTTTTTCTGCCGGTCTCCCCTTCGTTGCGGTCGTTGGTCAACCGGAATACTTTTCCCTCTGGCTCCGGGTAGTCATCCTTAAAGCTTATGAAGCTGCTGGATTGGACCCTCCCCCCCAAGGCTATCAACCGACACGAGATCAGGGCGATCGTATTTACAATGGCTCT